CTTTTTTCAGTAAAGTATAGGAAATCGAGGATGTGCCATCAATGTGGAATGAAGCCATTCATCGTCCCCATCTTTAAAAAGCGTCGACGTAACACATGCGACAATCATAGGGGTATCAGTTCGCTACCAATTGCATCAAAAATATTGGCTGCTATCTTGCTTCGCAGGCTGTGTAAAACACGTGGAGAGTTGATTCGCGAAGAGCAGACTGGGTTTCGTTCAGGCCGTGGATGGAGTGATCATGTTTTCACCCTCGGCCAGTTGTTAGAACACCGCCACACGTATTGCGGGCCAACGATCGTTGTGTTTCTTGATATTAGGGCTGCCTTCAATTCGTTGGATAGAACTGTGCTCTGGAACTGTCTGTTAGAGAGGGGTGTACCTGGGAAGTTTGTTAACATTCTGAAAGCCCTACACAGAAATACCTCAGGTAGAGTAAGGGCATACAACCAGCTATCTTCACTGTTCCCAACCAACACTGGGGTTAGGCAGGTTTGCCCAATCTCTCCATTTCTCCTTAATTTTGCCACCGATAGCATTCTGGAGTCAGTTCTGAAGGACGTGCATCGTGGCGATGTAGATCTGCTTCCTGCAGAAAGACTTTTTGACCTCGAGTATCAAGACGATATCGTCTTCCTGTACGATAGCATGCAGGTTGCCTAAATCGCACTTAACTATTTGGAGATCAGTGTCTGTAAGTATGGTATGTGCTTTGCGCCGTCTAAGTGCAATGTACTGTTACAAGATTGGCAGGAGCCTGATAGCATCATCGCGTGAGTAATTCTGAGGTCTGGTGGTGTGTGTGTGAACACAGTGGAGACCACCATTCATTGAATGTTGTCGTCTGGAAACACCGGCTTCGGTGGCTTGAACATGTGCCACGAATGTCATCCCAGAGGCTTTCGTACAGGTCTCTGTTCGCTAGCCCTGGGACAGGATGGAAAAGGCGGAGAGGTGGTCAGTCCATGACATGGCATTATGGGATGAAGGATATTTGTGCTAGGTTAGCATCGGTTGGTGCGTCACGTCTCTCTGGTTGGAATCCGAGAGAGCTTGAGTCGATGGCCCGAAACGTTATCGGATATGGCCAAAAATCGCAATCATCAATGTCGAACGTGCTGCAGTTTTCTTCTTCTTTCTTTCTTTACTGACGAATACTGTTTGGTCTTGTTAAATATAACTGCTTCCTTCCCATATACAATCCTTTATTCATTCTTTACCTTATTTTTTCTTATATGTTGTTCCATTATTATTATGCGGTGCATCTTCTCAATGCCACATTGTACCAGGTTTTGTGTTTTAAATAGAAATAAAATAAACTTTAAACAAGCTGTAGACAGACTACAATTAAAGTTCAACACCCTCAAATTATGGTTTTAAAAAAAAAGTTCTCTTCTTAAGAATAATAATTAAAAAGAATTATTTACGGAGTGTTTTATATGCTTATTAAGTAATTTGCTTTATTTAAGATCAGTTGCCCCATAATATTTTTCGGAGTTTATTACCAGATATAAAATCTAAAAATTCAGCAGCATACAACGTATTTTTTAAAAAAAAGAATTCATTGAACACAAATAGATTTAAGTACATCATAAATGTAAGCCAGACACCCATTTCATCATAATCTAAAGAAGGTAATAAAGACATGATTATAACTCTTCAACTCAGCATATAATAATATTTATGATGGATTCCTCAAAGTACCCCCCAAACTAAGTTAGCTTTTAAATTATCCAAAAATTTCATGTTCACATCTTTATAGCTAATTAATTAATTTTATTATTATTATTCATTCTATGCTACACATTCCATGAATTGACAAAAACACTGTTTACACTGAATATAGATTTCAGTGACCTTGTAAATAAACTTACAATATATATATATATATACGTCAAGATACCTTATAACTTAACTGACAAACTAAAACGGTTTGCATATTAACAGACACGCTAGACATTAGAAACTGAAAACAAAACTAATTAGTCAGGACAACCATAAGATACAGAGATTCCCGCTAACTATTCAAGTGACAATTGCAGAATGTTTATGATATTTACTTTAGGACTAGTCTACATTCATACTTCTCTTTTGGGTGTACTGATTGAATGCATTGACCAACTTCTGAAAACATTGTATCACCGACGATGACTGATGAAATATCTTGATGCAGACAAAGGTTTCTAGCCTTTATCTCACCACCGAAATTGTCGAGCAAGCAAGACATCTGATCGTCCATCACACAACACATAAGTTCTATGGTTGCAAAAAACATACTCATTTGGTGAAACTTAAGTAAAGCTATGACCGCATAAAAATGTGGAAGACAGGATAGATAAATCAACGAGCTGATGAAGTTATAAACTTCCAGTCTCTGAGATAACTGAATCATCTGTTACGCAGGATTATTTACTGCCCATTTAGACATATCGTTAGAAGACGTGGGACAAAATTTGAAATAACCAATGACCAACTCTCAAACCAGAATTTAATAACATTCCATCAAATCACCAACTGTACATCTAGGCCGGGCAAGAAGATGAATACTGCTTGACTTGAATACATATGACTCAAAACTCCCTACAGCCATGTAGACGAATCCACACTTCAACTTTATTCTAATTTTCCCCTAATCCATGATCTTCAATCATATTATTTCCATTTCTTCGTTTCATTCTTTATGCGTCTTCTACCTAATGTTCAGATACGAAGCACAGAAACATCATGTGGCCTACTTGGCAGTAAGACTACGTTTCATGTTAATAATATTCTAGATATCGTCTTTTACTACAAACAGAAAGTTTAAACACCAAATGGTGGTATATGCCTGACTGTGTCATTAAAATGTAACATATATATATATATATATATATATAGAAAAATCAATCATAAATTTAATGCATAATCAGACAGATGAAACAGTTTATTTAGTATGCAAAACATGAAGAGAAAAAAATACTAGTAGTATGTGACTTTTGCATAAATCAGAAATGTAGTAAGCAAGTATATTTGCATAAAACTATACACCAATGATTGATTGAGGTGAGTAATTGCATGCCAGTCATATCAACCAATAGTTCTTGCTAGCCAGATTGAGGTAATACAAACACCGGGACGGCCGTTTCGCTCGTTTGGGGTCGAGTTCATCAGCGGTGTACTTGGTTTTACTCATTTAAGAGAGGCAAATCTGTTCTAATCACAGGATTGTAAACTGTTAACCAATTTGCAAATTATGAATTTAATTTTAAGGTAGTACGCAATAGTTTCGAAGTAAGAATCACATCAACAATTGAATGGTGTGCTTACTGTACCGATGCATAAGACTTTATCAGCTTCAATAATGCTAGTGATGATTTTAAGCAGACAAGATAAACACAGTGTACAAATAAACATATCTTTACAAAAGCCTGCAATCTAGATTACTAATCTCCAGCTCATTGATGGCTACTGAATGAACTCTCCTGAATTTGTAGTGAGAAGTCGTGATCAGTGAGATTTACCATGTCAAGTGAAATGGACAGTAATAGAAGACTTTGGATGAAGGTAGCTCTATACCACGAATTCACAAGTTAAAATCCACAAATAACTGAATTACCGCCCAGGTGACTGAATGGACAACAAGCTTGGTCTCGTAACCTGAAGGTCTCAGATTCGACTTCTGGCGGAGTGGTCTGTTTCTGTCTGTTTTCGACATAGAACTTTGCACAAATGTGCGGAAGTTCAAGTCGCCACACTCCGTGTAGCACGCGAAGCAACAGAAGAAAGTACAAGAAAAGCATAATAGAAACAGTGAGCAGAGGTGTGAGACAAAGGAGGAGTAATAACGAAGAACAAAACAGTTTCATTGGAGATCATAAGTCACAAGGAGTGGATACATCTGCGCTGGCCACTGAGAACGATTTTGAGCCATGTCACCAATTGTTTCCAACCATTGATTTTTACCGTCCCGAGGACCCCAGCCTGGAAGTCTACACCTTCCTACGTGGCTTAAAATAACTGTTGTGGATTTCATTGACTGGTGCCAAGTTTTTGTTTGACCGCCACTAGCTTTTTTCTAGCCAGACCCTATATCCGCTAACATTGCTCGTCGAGGGAGGCGATGACTTGGCATACGTAACACATGTCCTAACCATCTCAGTCTTTGTACCTTCACGACTTCGTAGATTGATTTCCCCTGTTTACCTAGAACTCTACGCCTAACTTCAATGTTGCTCACCTTATTATGCCACTTTACACGGGAAATAGAGCGCAGGCACCTATGATCAAAGACAGCTAGTCTTTTCATGTCTTCCACTCTGACATGAAAAGACTAGCTGTGGTGGTAGCGGGTGTACACTGTTGGAGAGTTCCAAATTAGGACAAAACAACTGTTATCAATTATCTCTAAATGATCTCGGTTTGTGACGAAATCTACATTGAAATGTAAGTTAAACCGAAATTATTAGGATTTAGACATCTGTTTCGACCTAGCCTGGGACTGGTCACCAGTACACAACCATCACCCTACCCTACAGGATGAAACCCAGTAACTTCAGGTTACAAGGCATGCTGGTTGACCAACCAGCCACTGAGATGGAATCCACCAGTTTTAACTTCTGCCAATAATTCTTGATATACAGTACGCAACCGTCAGCCGAAATCACCAGCGAGTAACTTTCTTCACACGCAAGCTTGTTGGACCGCGTTTGGTCACAACTTCAGGCAATTTCATTTAGTCAGTCACTAGTGACAACTAGATTAATTTTCAAGGATTTGATTGATTTCAAGTTTACACATGAAAAACTTCAACTAAAGAACCATTGAAAACCAGGGATCGTGATCATTTGGCAAAATCACATATCATTAGCATAGCTCCTTACACAGCAAAACGTAAATCATAGTCTACTACTGAATAATACTTACATAATTGGAGTGTTTATCTATATTACTTATTCATACTACATTTATTGTTTAAAAGTTACACGCGACGAAAAACAGCTGGTAATTACGCTTATACTCACTTCTTGCATACGCTCCTTTAAAACTTCAGCACACTGTTCAGTCCAAGCATACTGATCATTTGGATTTTTTAATGGACCATGATTAATTGGTTCAGAAGTCAGACCATCTAATTCATATAAAAATCCACCGATAGGAATGTAACAAACAAAATGAAATGTATCCGGTACTGTCGTGTTAGAAGTTGTAGTAGTAGCAGCAGAAGAAGCAGCAGTTAAACTAGGACTTGAATCTGAAGAGTTGATAGAATTTACTGCGCCTACACTAGCCTTAGCAATTGCTGCGGCTGTTGCTGCAGCTTCACTTGGTTCAGGCAGTGTTATTTCGCATGATGTAACTTCATCTTTATAAACTGTTGGAGGTTTTGCAGCATGTCGATTGTGTGCTTGAGCAAGTTGTGGCATACTACCAATAGCTAGACCTTTAGCTTCTGGGGATAAATGACGCGTAGCTTTATGAAATTCCTCCAACATATGTCCTATATTTATCTCAGGTCTGTTTAACAAGATACTTAATAAGGCATGTGTAGCACAAGAATTCTGGACAACTTGATGGGCAAAAAAGATTTCTGTTTTGTCTGGAGCTTGAGATATAGTGGACTTGCATTCTGATATTCCATCAATAAATTTAGCAGCTTCAGGCGTACCGTGGATTTCTTGACCTGAACCAGATGCTGATCGATGACGAGAATTATTACTACTATTGTTATTATTATTATTTCCATTTTTTGGAGTAACTGAATTCGAGCGTGCATTATCACAATTAGAAACAGATGTATGGGAATTTGGGGAGACTGTATTCGTTACGGATCCAGTTGAACCTCGACCAGAACGCCGACAAGGCTGTTTTTAAAACATTAGATGTATTTTTCAAAAGGTTAATTCAAGAAATAACTCACAATAAAAAAATTCTGTGCTGTTTAGTACGCATAATACACCAAATAGAATTTTGCTTTTATTTTTAAAAACATACTGATGTCAGCCGATAACTGTCATCTGCCGACAATTAATTGTGTGTGTGTTTGAGAATTCTCACTTCCAGTTTACAAATGATTATGTGACCTATCCACCTTACCTTGCTTTACAAACTGCAAACAAATTTTTCAGTGACAATAATCAGAAAAGACAACATACGTGATTATTGAGAAAATTCAATTGAAACCCGGTGAGTATTTTATGCTGCGTCAAAGTAGAGAGGCGTAATAGAATTTAATGTGATGAATAGACACATCAACACTAGCGTTTGTTAAGTGCAATACATGAAATGCTAAAACTGTTGGGAAGGTGCATTCCAGAATTTGTTCCTCACAAAAGTGAAAGGAAGAATGAGAGCGTCTGGTACTTAAAACCAGACTGAATGGTAGGCATACTGGCCTACTTAGGGGAGCTGGAAAACCCTGACTTCAAATCTATGGTGTACATTGGCTCCAGAGCGGTTTGCTCTGTCCTCTTTTATGGCTGGCTGAGACATGGCCATTGAAAGTGAAAGACACGAAAAGGCAGGCTAGCCGTATCTGATCATAGGTGTCTGAGTTCTATCTCCAGTGTGGTATAATGAGGTGAGCAGTACTGAAGTAAGGCATCAGTAGATAAGGAGGGAAACTCGATCGACGAGGTTGTGAAGTTACACAGATTGAGGCGGATGGTTAGGAAATGTGTTACGCATACATAGTCTTGTCTATCCATCGCCTTCCTCGACCGACGGGTAATCCCAGCTGACTGATATAGGATGGATCAGGTTGGAAAAGAGAAGGCTAGTGGTGGGTCAAACAAACACATGTCTTCATCAGTCAATCAAATCCATAACAGTTAGTTTAAGCCAGCCAGCCACGTAATAAGGTGTCGACTTCCTGACTGGCTGGCGTCCTCGGGATGGTAAAACCAATGAAGGCTGGGGACAATTAATGATATGGCTCGAAATCGTTTTCACTGACCAATAATATCCAATAAAATTGTATTGTTCCTGCATATTACTATTCTTGTCGCCTCATATCTCTATTTATTATCTGTCTTTTGAATCTCTCTTTACTCTCTTCTCTTGCTTTGTGTGTTACAAGGTGGTAGTGTGGTGACTGGAACTGTTGCACATCTATCCAAAGTTCTACATTGAAACCAGTCAGTCGGTCAGAGATTGGCTTCAGAATTCGAAAGGATCGAGTGACGTATTAACCTATTTTAGCCACTGAAGACGGTGGGAACGCAGCTTCATTGCCTCGTGGACAAGACTTCAAGTCAAAGACTCGAGGATAACCCCTTAAGACAACCACCTCCTTCGATCTAGGTAGTATCTCAACCCTAGAACAAACTAGGAAATTGTGTGTGACACATCTCCTAGCGCACGTAATGTAGCAAGTTTGTGATTCAATAAAAAAAATTATCTTCGTATTTCAATCATTATCATTTCGTTTCTTTTTCATTCACATAATATTTACTTGACCTTGAAATATTTATACCGATCAATATAATAATTTATCACGTGCTATATGAGTGGAGAGGTGATTCATTGACTTAAGCACTTGGCTTTCAACTAGAAAGTCTTGGGTTCGAATCCCGCACCACCTACTTTAGCATAGCCAACTGGAGAGTAGTGTCATCAGCCATCACACAATTAAGTGTAGCTCATGAAAAACTTATCCTGGGAACTGAATTCAAACAATATGTATTCTCACGGTAGTAGTAGTCTCCATTATGGTTTCCAAAATCCAACAGATTTAACATTTTCCCACATTCTACATTGCTACAATGTGGGTTAACTAGTCTATTATTTAAAGCATAAGATACCATAAAATTTAAAAACCATAAATATACTTAGAGGTAGGATTGGGTGGAAAATCAAACATTTTGTAAATTCTATGTTGGCTAAAGTATGTAGTACTATGTATAAACCATCATAAAGGCTTTTATAGCATAGCTTAAAAAATACAATACACTCATCAAAATAAACTTAATCTATGAAATACGTATTTTTTATCTCAATGATTCATACTATAATGTCAATTAAGTGGGACGTCAAAAATTGGTCTAAATTACTAACTATAATTGTTGTCGCCTAGTTAAACACATCTAAGCTGGAGGATTACTATAAATGGAGAAGAACTAAAAGCTAATGTCAAAATAGTTTCCATATTTCTCTTGCTATTCTGCAATGAATAACACTTGAAAACCTGTAAACACACACACTCACGCTAGTCACTATACCTACTGAATTAATTTTGAGATAGTGATTTTCGCAAAAGATCGATTGTATTTTCCATCAAACAAATGATGTCAGCGAAAATCTGGATGAATCTTGGAAGTAGAGAATAGTTACAGAATTGGTCACGAGGTAACATCAACTAGAGAATCACTCGAAAACCAAGGAGTACCAAATAGCTGTTTCTTCCCAGTTTGGGACTCTTCATCAGCATGCACCCACCGGGACCCGAACCCCTACACCTCCCAGTCACAAGGAGAGATAGTAGACTATCCAGCCAATGGAACTCGATCCAGTAGTCGGCGAATTCTAAATTCTGTCAATTCATGATATATATTTAGCACAACCGCCAGCCAATGTCACAAGCAAGTAACTGTCCACTTGCCTAACTTGATGGACCCCACTGGTTACGACTTCTCACCAGAACTCCAGGTAACTTCCTGTATACAGCCAGTCGCTAGTGAGCACCATATTTATTATCCAGTGCTGGTCTGGAGGGATTTGATTGGTTACAAGATTGATTCACGAGCTGATATTAAGTTAGAGAACCACTGAAGAACCAGAGAGTAGTGGATAGCTGTTTCGTCCTAGTGTGAGGCTCTTCTCTAACTGGTGTCAGCTCGTTATCAATTCTGTAATCAATCAAATCCCTGCAAACCAACAGTTGATACTAAACAGTTGTTTCTTTTAAATTCAGGAGTCCTCATCAGAGAACACTTTCCCGCTATTTGGATCTAGTGAGGCCGCGAATCATAGGTCCGGGTGCTAAACCTCCAACCACTGGGTCAGGGGTTCGAACCCCACTCCACTTATCGAGGTTTGGACAGCCAAGCACTATGATTAACCTTCACGCAATACATATGGCTTGTTGCCGCCTGCACGGAAGTGTAACTGGCTGTTGAGTAATATTTCTCTATTCTACTATTTGGATAATACACCAAAGTAATTAGGATTATGCAAATGAAACTGAAGAAACACTTGTACAGTGAGTGACCGCCTCCTTATTCAACCAAACAATTAATAAGAAACAATGACAACAAATATATATATGTTATATGCGTCACTTACCTTTTTCTTAGCTTTATTCCAATGAAATAAAAATATAAAACCATAAACAATTTCGGTGATTGGTTTTGATAAATCATAAATCTCTTCGACCTGAACACCTTGAACTCCAAAATCTTCTAAAAGTAAAGTAAACAATCCAGGATCGCTTTCCAACTCCAACCATTCTGCCTGACTCATAGTGCATGTAACTAAAATGTTAATAATAGAGATAAGTAAAATGCATAATAAAAATACACATGAATAGATAATACGTTTATGAATCATCAACACTAAAGCTTTTACAAAAAAAGCTATTACTAAGTTCATTCACTAGACAAAATAATATATGTGTTGATAATTTGACCTTTAACTAAGGAATGAAACAAATTAACATGTATACACACTACACCGACACACACGAAATAATCTGGTGTATATAACATATTAGGTAACCCAAAAGTCTAATGGTGTCAAAAATGCAACTTTAAACAATACATGAACCTGTATAACATATATATATTTTCACATTCAAAGATTCTTTATACTACAAGTCAATACAAAAATTAGGTAATACAGTTTAAAAACTATGCAGTAAACATTCCCTCTACCCCCCCCCGCCTCTGACTACTAAGTAAGTCAATACAAAAAGTGTCTAGGAGACTAATTTATTCTAAGAACTGATTTTCGATAACATATCAACATAATCCAAAATTTTGGTTTACTTTGGAAAATCTAATTCTTTCTATTTTTCTATAGACAGTCATATTCGAAACAATTTTCATGCATAAAAAGGCACAGTGAGAAGTAAAGACTTAAGAGCAAAGGTTTGACAGGTTTTCAATGACTCCCTAAGTGGTCTCACTTCATGACGAAATCTACCTATGCCTTGAAATCAATCAAATCGCCTGCATACCCAACATTCAGTGAAATAAAGATTTTAAAACAGTGATGAATGGTCAAATTGTAACCAATGAGTGAAGATTGATAAGTTTAGACTAAGACTACATAATATGCGAAATACTGAGAAAAAAACTGGATTTTAATGAAAGAGTGTGGGAAAAAGTATTAAAATAAATTATTTAGCAGATGAAGAGAGTGGAAAAGGTGTTAAGAAAATGATAATAAATATCATATGAAAACAGGTACAAAATAGTAATAACAGTTGAACTTACAGTTATATTATATATCACTAGCCAAGACCCTGGCATCACGAGCCATTGATGTATGCTGTGTTTCAGAAACACGCATACAAGACCCAAGTGTGGTTATTCACCTAACCCCACCTGGCCAACAGGTTGAATCTGCAAAATTCACCTTGAGGGTGTCAGGAGATGCCACAGCTAGTTCACGAGGATTAGCTGGCGTAGGGATAGCTTTGAGTACTAGGGCAGAAAAGACATTGCTTGACTGGATCCCGGTAGATAGCCGAATGTGTGCTGTCCGCCTGAACGGATCAGTAAAAAGGAGGAAGGACTGCACTACTCGCCGATGCCTTTTCGTAATCTCCGCCTACGCCCCCACTGACTGCAGTTCAGATGAAACGAAGGATGAGTTCTACCAAAAGCTGTCTAGTTTGGTGAAAGGCTAAACGCTCAGACATAGTCGTTCTAGCTGGTGACTTTAACGCTCAAGTAGGGAAATTGTGTCAATCTGAGAAGGATGTCGGTGGCACCTATGGAGTTCCGTGCCAGCGAACCGACAACGGTGACCGTCTCCTACAGTTCTGCTCTGATAATCATTTGTTTCTTGTAAGCACTAACTTCAAACACAAGGAGAGACACTGTTTGACTTGGAGACCCCCTTCATCAAACCAACGCTGGACACAAATAGACCACATAGCAATAAGCTATCGTTGGCGTGGGTCGGTAGGAGATTGTCGCTCCTTCTGGAACACGTGTGTAGATACCGACCATGCACTGGTCCGCGCTCGGGTGTGCTTACGACTGAACGGACGTAGGAAACAGCTGGCGGTAAAACCATCACGTCCCCAGCTCGATCAGGAAACTAAATCCGTATTTCAGGAAGAACTAGCTAAACACATATCTGTGTTCGACAGCTGTGCTCACCCTGAAGAAGCTTGGAAAAATATCCAGGCAGCCATAGATACAGCTGTAAAAGCTGTGAATAAGGTAAACCCAAAGGTGAGTAAAAACCACTGGATCTCCACCGCCTCATCCGAACTGATAGATGCTAGAAGACTTATTCCGGCGAGCTCCGAATTCAATGAGGAGCGAAAGCTGCACAAGAGGAAACTTACGAAAAGTCTCCGCAAGGACCGTGAACAGTGGTGGGCGACAAAAGCCAAAGAGATGGAGAAAGCTTCGAGGATAGGCAACACCAGGCAACTCTTTAGACTCATCAGGGAAACGGGTGGGAGAAGACAAATCATTAGTGAGACAATCTCGGAAAAAAATGGCACTATAATTAGCTCCCAGGATAGACGACTGGATCGTTGGAAAGAGCATTATGAGGAGCAGTTTAATTTGCCCACAGCCACGCTCAACCTTCCGAGCATCCAACACCTCCCTGAATGGGATATAGACACAGGTCCTCCGTCCCTAACTGAGGTTACTAAAGCTGTCACCAATCTGAAACTAGGCAAAGCAGCGGGACCTGATGGAATGACTCCAGAGGTATTTAAGTACGGTGGAGACAGCTTACTGTCTGGATTAACTGAGGTACTAGGCAGCGTCTGGGAATCAGAAGAAGTCCCATCGGGTTGGTGTAAGTCACTGATTATCCCCATATACAAGAAGGGAGACAAGTCTTCCTGTGATAATCACAGAGGGATTAGCTTGACTAATATAGTATCTAAAGTCTTAGGCTCAATAATCATGCGTAGACTGAGTGGTGCTCGGGAAGCACAAACACGAGAGAGCCAGGCAGGCTTTAGACCAGGAAGAGGGTGTATTGATCATATCTTCACCCTCCGACAGATTCTAGAACATAGGCATTCCTACCGGCGTCCAACAGTCATTATATTTCTTGACCTAAAGGCAGCATTCGACTCTGTCGATCGAGAAGTTCTCTGGAGATGCTTGGCTGTAAAGGGAATTCCGAGAAAATATATTGCACTGATTAAGGCACTCTACTCGTACTCATACAGCCAGGTGAGGGCTTACGGCGAGCTGTCATCTGAACTGATGACGACCAGTGGTGTCCGTCAAGGATGCCCATTATCTCCTTTTCTATTCAACTTCATCATAGATGTGTTAATGGACTTAACCCTAGGTGACTTCAGCGACTCAGGGATTGACTTGCTACCAGGGAATAATCTCGTTGACTTGGAATATGCAGACGATATAGTCCTTCTAGGTGAGGACGCTGACAAAATGCAGAGTCTTCTGAACACATTGAGCTGCAATCTACGAACAGGATAAATGCTGTTTGACTGAAGTACATGTAAAAAACCACAGCATACATTTGGAAACCGCGGACGGCATATGGCCCAAATTTAGTTGCAGTGAATCCAATGAACTGACGCCGTACCTTTATCCTAGTTACCTACTTTATCTCTTCATTTGCTTTACCTTCCTTACTTTTCTCAATCTCAACTATTACACGACATTCAAATAATTTCTAATTATTCACCTTACTCCTTATCACTTCGTACCTGATGTACTGATGTTATGTTTAGGGACTGCACCAATGCGCAGCACTGCCAAGTCCTGTATGAATACTTACTGAACAATACCACCCACGCATGTGGTCCGGAGTCTGATCCTCGGCTGATGCACTCCTAAACCTCGTTAAGCCGGTAATAAGATCGATGAAGAGGGGAGGTTGGGAGTGAGGCTAGCAACCCTATCCTGTAAAAGTAAAACCACTGCTACCAGAACTACAGAACTAGAGCTTGAAGTCCTGTTTCACTGGAAATGTAAAGGAATAAAATAATACCAACTAGATTGATTGGAACTGTGGTTCATTGATCTAGTTGTTCGACTTCTGATCGCTTGGTCATGGGTTCGAATCCATCTCCACCTACCATGATTTGGGCAGTCAGGTAGTATGACTAGCCATTACACAATAGGTTTGGCTCACTGCCAACTGTATCGAGTAGCAGCTGTTTGCTGAGTATATTGTTTTCGTCTACTAAACTGGATAAGTGAAACAGCTAACATGAACTACACATACCACCACATATAGCATTAGCCGAAGTAGATCAACTTTGGAAAAAACAGTAGTGAAGCAAAGACTACCAATCCACAGTTTCCAACTTCTTCTTATAAGTCACCTACAGTCACCTGCTTACATGATCACTTTTAGGGTTCCAAGCCTCTGACCAGTATTCAGTCTTTTCGTTGCTCCTCCTTCCCTTTCATCCGTTTTCATGTTAAACTTTCACTGCTGTTTTTCCCAGAATTGTCAATTTGAAGTGACATTGTCTACAACCACATGCTCATGGATATGCAAACACATGAATAGCCACGCCATTGGTGGATATTAACGTCAGTCGTATATCGATCAACGGGAGCAGTGGAAGATTTATACTATTTTTACCATGTGATCGAACACCGACTACACAGTAATTCAAGGAAACGTATGTTTATTACTTAGGAAATGCGTAAAAACTACAAACAGGAAGCTAGTGCAAAATTAAATTTTGGCTAAATACAACTAAGGTAAACATCTATCGATGCAATATATTCGGAGGGAACCTGATATCACTATTAACCAGTTATGAAGCCAACTGTAAGAACCGTAACTTATTTTAGAAACAAGGTTGCAAAATGTTGGTGGGTTTAAGAAACTTAATTACAAACATGAGTACACGAAGCCACACTTCAGTTAATTCAGAGCAATATGAGAAGAGGAAACAAACGAAGTGTAAACCATTTGTATGCTGAACGTCTATTGTAATGGACAGTAGAAAACAAAGAGATGAAAGAGGAAATGAGAGATAATAATGGACAATTTCTTTACTTTATTAAGGAGACATATGAAAGTATTTGGTGAGGGCATAACCGTAAAAGTTGAGTTAGTGACCCATTTAGGAGAAGCAATTGAAACAGAGTGAATGACACAAAGCTCTAGTCGTTCAACTAGAAATCCAAGAGACGGATTCTAATCCTCTTCTAAGTGCTAAGATCTGGCAAACTAGTGTTGTTAACTTTCAAAAGTGAAACAAGAAACTAACTTTCACCTTCGCCTAGACCTGCATATCTCTATTTTTACTGTATTTTTATGCACCAAGATAAAGGAATACCTGTATTTTAAACACGAACATGGTAAAGAATGGCAGTCGAGAAAAACACACAAAAAGTAACAAAATAAAAAAGGGGTAATAGTTAGAAATTAACAGAAAGACCAATATATTGAGTATTCTTACTTGGTACATCCAAGAGATTATTAGTCACTTTCCATCACTTTCCACGATGAAACAAGAAAACTGCAGCATAACTGCTACTGATTTCGATTCCAAAAAATGCATAATAACGTCCTGAGTGACCAAATCGAATGTCCTTTCGGGAAACACCTACAGTCGTGGCATAGAGGTATAGATAAATAGAAGAAAACTATCTACAGTCTCATAGCAGCATATCATGGACTGACCGCTACTCTTTTACTAATCAGTTCCATGGCAAACAGAAAGTGGTGTGCAAACTTCTGGGTTGATGTTCAAAACATGTACTCAAGACAAAGAATTTAGCGCCACAGAATGACATTACTTAATGAAAGACAGTTTCCACCTTATCCAGGCGCTTGTACCCAGACCTCAAAATTGCCTATTGTAACCGAATGCACATAATCCCACAGATAAGACGATGATCGGAAATGCACAGGGACTCAAAATGGTTCATTTGAAGAGACTATGCATCACAAATATAAAGCCATAAACTTTGAGCCAAATAGTTTTAAGGCCAAATTTTAATGACCAGAGACGGTGTCAGAAATGGTCTGGATTAACATGCACAAATCAGTGTAGAATCTTGAACAGAAGTGCACCAGTTCAAGTTGTCACATTTTAGAAAAGAGTATATAGAAGGTCAGAATCAATAGGGGAATTACACCAAAATGGACAAACACAAGTGTTAAGAAAAGCTTATGAAACTTCCTAAAGATAAGGAGTGAATGCGCCAGCCTATTTGTTAACGATTCTCTGCAAGCCGATTACCCAAACTTCATACCAAAAGTCAGGGACCTCATAGACAGAAGGACAACGAAAGCTTCGCAAATAAATCAACCAGCTTAAAGAACACGACTAAATCACCTCTCTTTTGGTCTAATTTCAGTTCATTTAACAATGCACTTTTGGAAGGTGATGGATATCACACACCTGCGTCAAAAAATGGAGCAAGTTGTAAAATCTCAAAGAGAACTTTATATCCATCCTGGGAACTAGTCTGAAACCTTTTGATTGGGAGTGAAGTAACTACTTCCCTAATACGACTACACTGATCGACTACTTTAAATTAACAAGACCTAACCACGGCAACAAGTCGATTCGTGATAGAACAGATGACAACTGCCTATAAGAATGTGTACTACTTCGAAATCTCGAGTAGCTACTTCACTAGGATAACATGCTTCCTCGATAGTGCCTTCACAACCAAGCAAAATTACAACACAACTTATAAGATAAAATTAAGCTCAAAAACCAGGAAGTATAGCGAATACCAGAGGTTGAGTAGCAAGACTGTCCTAGAGTCTGTCACAGTGAAAACTAGACCAGTGTATTTCCATCCAGTTCTTAAATCCTTCTGGTTCTCTTGGACACATTTACCGGATGCTCCTAGTCTATGAATAGATACGCACCCTGAGATTTTTGACACCACTAATCAAGACGACTTCGTTGTAGCTACCATAAATAAATTTAATTCCTTTCTTATAATGGTGACGATCAATTCCAGTACACCGGAAATATTCTAAATTTAAACACTAGCAAGTGTGTAAGTTAATCTAGTTAATTTTTCACTACCATCCTGAACGAGTTTAATGTCAAACTGTTACGTCCTGTTAGTTTGTTTCATTTCACATTTATAAGAACTTCAGTGATTTCGTCCACATTTGGACAACCGATGTCTATTAAACCTGACGTTAGACGAAAGGCAACTTCAATGCATCTGCGACCCACCCAAACTGCTTCTTAAAGCTACATATTATTTGTTTATTAGATATATCACACAGTAAAACGGTATTATTTACTGGATGACGTTTCAAACACAATTTATCAATAAACCCATATGACTTCCGTAAACTGAAGCAAGAAAAGAAAACTATCGGTTTGAAAAATGAAGTCATTCCGACATATGTACGTCTACAAGCTTCAATCGCAACAGACAAGGAGCAATAGTGGAAAGTCCACAAAAAGTATGCTTAAAAAGGCCCACAGAAATGTTAAAAAGTTATGTCGTATCAGAAACGAAATCCAGAAGTTGAAGCCTAAATTAATGGAGACAATTACAAACAAGGATTATGATCTTATAATACAGCCCTCTAGCGATGCCAAGTCAGCAGTATTCAAAAAGTCAATTAATATTCAAATTGACAAATTTAATAAATGTTTCTCAAAGTGTTTTCCCAACAGTCTGTGAGTGAAGTCACCTTTCAACTTGAGCCGCATACAAAACCTTTGATAGTAGCTGATCGGAGCATTTGTGCACAGGGCTTTGTGGTAATATGTAAACAAGTGTGCATGCTACCCTCCGAGATGACAAGACGGGGTGAAGTTGAAATTCCTCTGAAGGCCAGTGCTTGTGATCGACGTCCTCTCCTAGGACCCTAACGCCAATACTCTCCACCAAAGCACCTCCTAGAAGATACTGCCATTGTGGCTTCAATTCCAGGGGACTAGGTGTAAAGTTCAAGAAATGCAACCAACCCACTTGTCAACTAATACAGGACAATAATTATTGTCATTAAAATACAGAAATTAGGGACACAAAAATTAATAAGATGTGGATGTGCTCCGAAAAAAAGTATAAGCCCTGCATACCTAAATGTCATAGGTTCTCAGTAGTGATGAGTCCGTTTCATAGTCAAGGACGAACCCAGGTAGCACATACTAGCACATACACACGACATGCTACTAATTCATTTGTGTCCAGTTTTCTAGCAGCCTCATCAACTGATATTTGAAAAGTTTGTTACAAATTATTAAGTTCATTACGACTGAGGTATATGCATATATACACATATGTACATATCAATGTATATACTGCCTGTGCCGTAACAAAATCTAAAAGTACGTGGTAGGATGTCTCCAAAAGCTCTGGACGCAAGTAATCTGAGGTATTCAAATGCTTATCGAAGAGGCTCATCCGTCAATATTTCTCAAACCCTTTCCTGTCAAAAACCATGACAAGCAGTAAAAAAAACATGAAAGAGGAACTGGACGAATAAAAACCCATTTTAAAAAACTAATCAGTCTGGAATTTTGCTATGGAAGGATATTAATAACAACCTCAGACACCTGCTTCACAACAGCCATAATAAACACCAGCTAAACAGGTTGGGTGGATTGAGAGGTATATCAAACTAACTACTATGACTATACTATGTATACTGTTTGCTTTAAATAACGTAAAGTACAAGGAAAGCGTAAAAGGGGAGCATGATATCCCTATTAAACTGTAAAAAGCCGTTAAATCCCTAAGCTTACCTCAAACATCAGTCAGGTACAACCTAAGTTGAAGCTGGCACGTGATTCTTCATGTTTCAATGGCCAAGGTTTCACCAATTAAACCCTGTGAAACTGTTATACAAATGGCAGTTTGAAACATTCTCTATGTTCTTTCTGGCAGTAACGAATACCGACACCTTATCTGATATCCCACATCTTGCTAAATGATTAGTAGTGTTTCTTATGTAGATACACACTCAAGATTCAGATTATAAGGGTAGGAGGCTGCTGTTGCCTATGTTAATCCTCGCGATATATATCTCTGCAGAGATCCAGTTTCTCTTTGAAAGCGTGTGGAGTCCCCAAGAATAAACTTATCCAATTTTTACTGCTATGTAAGAAATGAACATATTGTACTTTACTTTGTTTTAGCCATAAACTCTGTACTTTGAACTTTAACTCGGGTTTTGAATGAATATATAGTTCTGCCTTCGACTCTCCGTCTTCTCCACCATTTCAGCTGCCGTTGATCAACTCTAACCACCTGTTTTCTATTGCAAATTTTTGCAGGAGCACCGTAGTTTCTTCCTACGTACTTTGGTCGACCTCCGGCAACGTCAACATTGGAGAATTAATATTGAAGCAGTCTTCCCGTAGTACTGCTGGAGTCTATTACGTTTATTGTGGATTTTGGATCTTTGTAAACCCAAGTAACGAAACTTTAATATATTCTTCCCGTAACTAAACTGATTTGGTATTTTATTTTCTATTTGAATTTGGGATACTACGCTAACAGAGTAAAAGGTCCACCATAATCGTTCACCGATGGAGCTGTTACTACTTAATCAGGTAAGGAGTTCCAGACGTTGACCACTCTGTGGGAGAATCCAAACTCCTCGGTTTGAGCACCTTCTTCTGGTGACCCCGTAAATGTATATTTGAGGGAGAGAAAAAGTTTGAAAGGTCAATCCCTAAATCACCCTAGAATATACGGTTAGCCAAAATTAAGTCGCCTCTCCTCCTTCGGCATGATAATGGGAAGAGATTTAAATGCTCAATCCTCATGTCATAAGGAAGGTATGAGGTACCACTAATTCCGTTCCTACCCTCTGTACTCTTTCCGTGCTGTGTGTCTCCTTTTTGAAACATGGACTCGCCGCTTATATGCAATACTCTAGATGAGGCCTGACATATGTTGCATAGAGTACTTGGAACATACCTTCGTCTAATCGTTTGAAAGCCCTTCGAAGTGCCCATAGCATTCGGAAAGCCTTAGCGTCTCCTCGATTACAGTTTGCCGTTGTTTTTAAGTCATGGCTAACAATAATTCTTAGTCCTTTTGTTCCCAAACGTCTGACAGTTCTATGTCCCCATGGTGTACGATGTGTAAGACTTTTGACCTAGGTGCGTTACCGTGCCTTTTTTGGAATTAATTTCCAGACTCCAAAGGTTAGCCCATTCGGCTAACTTGTCCAGGTCGATAAAGACAACGTCTAGTAGATGGATTTATCCCTGGCCTCGACCCAATGTTCCCTACGTAACAGTAAGTTTGTCAAGCAGGATCGTCCTGGTCGGAAACCATGCTGTTCGACTGACAGTAAGCCATCTTTTTCCGTATAAGCAAAAGGCTAATCCCTTATGAAATTTTCTAACACAATTGCTATAATGCAGGTCAGACATACAGGCCGGTAGATACATACTAACTGCCTGTAACAGTCTTTGAAAATGGGGCATATAAAAGAATCTAACCAGCCTCTGAGTAGCCTAGACTAGGTCAGACCCATTTGAAAGATCTCGTAAGTGGAATGTCAGCCACGTCTCGTAAACCGTTAATGCCCAGCTCTTGCTACGCTCGGGCTCACGCTGTCCCTTGAAGTTTCTCAGAAACGCTTAGTAATAACGGACGAAAAAACCAAAACACCAATTGTTGACTCGAGGATTCTTTATTGTTACACCAACATATAAATCACGTATGACTAAGGTCTGTGAACAAATATTACAATAATAAATCACAATATTACTTCTGACGGTTTACTGCTGACTTCTTTCTGAACAGCGACCGATGAGACGATGACTGGTGTATTGATGCCTCCGCGAAAATTGGGGAAGTTGGTTTTGAGCAAACAACCATGAATTGATCATTCAATCTTCAACTACATTGACACTCCCCGGCAAAATACGGATCCATCCCTTTTTCCATCACGACCAATACACGTTGACTTGGATGCCATTGCGACAACCTGGGTCACACGGACAGAGCTGAAACGGAAAACAAACAGAAAAGCCAACACACCACAAGCATACTCACAGCACAATCTCACACATCAATGACGACCTGCGCCTTCCAGTTAAAGGCATCCTCTTGCAACACAATCGCCACTTGCTAGAATGACTCTTGCAGAATGCAACGTGACCATAGCACCACCTCACGATACTCTACGCTCATCCTCTTATCTACTCACTACCAATTACCCCTGCCATCGCTTGTCACTCATTCTGCCTCAGTTCTAGTAACGGTGACGTATGCGAGCCTCAGTCGTTTACACTCTTTCTCCCCGGCGTGTGGGACCGCAGCTAACAATTATCTCCGTATGCATGTCATTCTCAGCAATAGCCTCCCCGGCGTATACGACCCATCTGCTCTCTTGAACATCAATCAATTCATTCACGGATGTAGAAGACTCGAAACAACTTCAGAAGTAAGCACGACGAAAATTTTAACAAAATTATGCAATAACAACAAGGTACGAAAACAACAAGTAAACACAATGAATCCAAAAACACCAATTGATAGGACACACCACACGTATACACAAACAGTACACACAAACTCGCGGATCATGTCTCGATGGAATTCTTTTGAAGAATCGCAGGACTTACACCAGTACGCCTGCAACCCTTATCAGGTTGACGATTGTAAGTTGTGGAATGTCCGGACACAAACAAGATTAACCAACAATTACAATAATTGGAACTCATACAATTATTTAACACAAACATATGTACGATCAACACATCAGATGTGGTGGATTCTGGCACGACAAACTACCCTTGAAGAACTGTAGGACTTACAGCAGTACGCCTACATTCCTTCTCAGGTTGATGATCCAAGTGGAAGTCGTCCGGACACAAACAGAATTACCAACAGCTAGATGACAGATGATATCAATTCAGTATATACAATATGAACATATGTACAAAATCACACACCAAGCATATTGGACTGCTCATTGATGCGCTACCCTTTGAAGAATTTTAGGACTTACAGCAGTACGCCTACAACCCTTCTCAGGTTGACGCTCTGGGTTGGAAAATCGTTGCAGAGTTCATTTGCTGACTTCCCTCTATCAGCTATATCCTCAAATCTGAACGGTAACGCGCTCATGTCATTGTATCGTAGAACATAGATGACGAACAAACATACGACGTATCTGGTCAACCAAGCGTAGATACAGAGTAATTTACACCAAAGATAATAGCATTCAAATAGTAACTTGAAACTAGAAATGCCTTTATTCATGCAAGTCAATTTAACAATTACTCTCTCGTTTACACTTGGCTTATCCTCACTAAACTGAGCAATATCTTTCGTCTTTTCAAACGAACTGATACTATCATAGTCATTGCACAAGATACTTGAGTTGATGGGCGTCTGTTTCATTGTGGATGACAACACCAACGATGACCGATTGATACAAGTTGATGAAGTTAGCGGTGGATCAGAAGCTGTTGTTGCTCGACATTCAGAAATTTGTCTACCTGCAAGACCACCACCACTGCTGTCTTCTACTATCAGCTCAGGTTTAGCAATAGTATCTGATGATAGGTGGGCTACACGCTGATCAATCACACTGACGGTCTCACAAGTATGTATGCCTTCTGCAACTGCATCTGCATTTATTTCTGCTTCACGTTGTAGTTGTGCAGAACCTTTAATTAACTTAGCAGTGGCAGGCATATCCCTCATCTCATCATGAACAACCGAAGACAAATGTGAAGTATCATGATCATTATCACGAATATTCAATTAACCATCATCCATCTGGTCGACTTCATCAATTTCAAACTCTTTAATAACAGAAGTAGACAATTTTGGTTCCTCCTCACAAATCCTAAAAGGCTTTATAAATTCACTCTGACTAGTAATACCTTACAATGAAAAATGCTGGCGAATTTGCCCATCGCCTGGTTGACACTGTCCTTCACCAGTCTAAGAATATCATTAAACCTTGGCTCGATACCCTCCTCCTCTATACAAGAGCTTATTTTTACCCACTTCCTATGCAGCCGAGTAGGCAGGCGTCTCGCAATTACCTCTAGGACTGAGCTCGAGTTGAGGTCACTCATGCAATTCATAGAAATCAAGGTATTCTTATAAGTCATAAGATTATCTAAAAACTCAGTAAGTGCCTTGGAGTCATCTTGAAGTTGACTGCCGTTACCTTTGACAGCTTCGTATACGTTCCTTACAATCATTGAAGGTCTTCCAAACCTTTGACGTAGTATGCTCACAGCCTCGTAGTAGCCATCTTTTGGCTTCATAAACTTACAGCACTGTATAGCTCTTGAAGCATCTCCAGTGCAATACCTCATCAAATACATCAATTTCAATTCATCACTTAATAGAAAACTACTCAACATGATCTCAAACTCCTTTACAAATTGTAAATAATCAGCCGGGTTTCCATCGAAACACCGTGGTTCAAATTTAGGGAGTTTGATGTTCCTATTATCCCTGAACGGCGAAACAGTAACATCAACCATGTCATGCTTAACATCAGACACATCGTTACAATTAACAGACAAGTCACCATGACTTACTTTCCTGTTTGCATCCAAGACACTCTGTCCCTTCTTTGACCCAGGCATTGTTGAACTTGACCCAATTCCAAAAACGTTCCAGATATTGCTTGTTCAAAGAGGACTTGACCGGCACCAGGAAAGATGAACGGTGGCTATCCAAACTTTCACCAACTGTCTGAATCCGCCAGATCTGTTTCTACCGTCAGAAACTGTCAGCCACGTCTCGTAAACTGTTAATGCCCAGCTCTTGCTACGCTCGGGCTCACGCTGTCCCTTGAAGTTTCTCAGAAACGCTTAGTAATAACGGACGAAAAAACCAAAACACCAATTGTTGACTCGAGGATTCTTTATTGTTACACCAACATATAAATCACGTATGACTAAGGTCTGTGAACAAATATTACAATAATAAATCACAATATTACTTCTGACGGTTTA